CACACACACACACTTGATCTTATAGAGGAACAAACTGTCCGGGCCCTTCGTTAATGAACAACTTACAGTCTGGACATCAGGGTAGGTTTGTACCTGGAATTCTTTTTTGTATACACAAGTAGAAAACATACTTGTTTTTGGGAATCTCCTCATATCTAGACATCCTGCTAACAGCTGCTTCATCTGTCTCATTTTCCTCTCTCCCTTCCATCTTTATTCCTGATCCGTACTCCACTTCGGAACCTGACTCTCCCTGCTCCTCTCTTTTACTTCCTCTCTCTCTCCAGTTTGAAGCGAAGACGAGAATCTCAGCGGAGGAGGCCCTTAGACACCCCTACTTCAGGAGTTTGGGGGAGCAGGTTCAGACGTTACCCGACAGTGAGTCCTCTCTCTCTGGAGTGTTTTAATGATCTGGGTTTTTTAAATACTCTGCAGAGGCTCTTAAACAGCAGGAGGTGATGCTTTACGAATGTGCGAAGCACAAGGAATCGGTGTTGATGGATATATTATCACTGTAAGTCGTGGAGAGCCTGTAACAGCGCACACTGACGTTGAAAGGAAATGAATCTGGCCAAGACGGGCTTCTTCTGCCCTCTAGTGGATGTGTGTTGCACAGCATGCAGGGCTTGCCTTCTGATGAGCCACAACAATAATTAATAAAAAGAATTCCTTACACTTATATAGCACTTTCCTAGACACTCCATTCAAAGTGCTTTATAACGGGTCAGAACCGGAGTGGGGGACTTCACTCGTCTTCCCTCTCCTCTCCAGCGGCGTCCATCTTCTCCGTGAAGGACATCCAGCTGCACAGGGACCCCGGCAAGCGGTCGACGGGACACCCCGAATCAGGTGAGGGGGAGAGGGAACGGTCGCAGTCGCCGGATCTGGGGCTGGCTTCCCTGGAATCGCGAGCGCGCGAGTCCGATCGGATTGGGCATCTGGGGACGGGGGGCGCCTCGGGGGCTGTGCAGGGGCCCTCCGACGGCGCGGGCTCTCGGCCTGTCGTCTTCCGAGACCGTCGCCCAGTCCGCTGAGGTGCAGCGCCGGGCTGTAAGGGTGTTGTCAGGTCTGCCGGTGTGCTGTCTGTACTCTCTCTCTCTGTCTGTCTGTCCCTCTTTCCTCCTCGCTCACTGCCTTGGCTCGGTCTGTCTGTTGGCTGCTGTGTCAAGCCCGGTTCACGCCGCGAGGCCCAGACGGACCCTTCTCAGGCTGTGGGATTGGTTCTGCACCTGCTCTGACCACCTGGAGGGTCGCCTATTTGCACAGCAGGGCGCGCACTGGGCCAATTCGAAGCGCCTTCCTTGCTCATGGGTGCAACAGCAGCGCTCCATTTGGGATTGGAACCCGTGACCCTCTGGCCGGGAGTACAGAGCCTTAAGCATTGCCGCACCCTGCTCCCTTAGTTTCCAGCGAGAAGAGCTCCGTTTGCCCCGCTGTACCCTGCTGGTTGACAGCTTGGGAATCCCGAAATCTCATCCTGCTGCTTCCCCAAGGATCCCAGTATATGGGCTCAGAGCACATCGCTGGCCTGATTGTCCCAGACGGCAGCATCTCTTTGCGTAGAGCACCTGAATGTACTTTGTTGTCCTTTCCTCTTGTGCACTGGGGTGCCTGTTTCACTGTCGACCCCCAGTCAGTGCTCTGTGCTGACTTTCGCCTCTGCCTGGCCTCAGAGGGCCTGCTGTAGTCGACGTGGGGGGGGCTATTTCCCAGAGGCAGCAGGTCTGCTTGCTGCTGTAGCAGCAGTCGGAACAGTGGACAGTGTGAGCCGAGCTTTGCGGTTCTCCGACGTCTGCCTTCCTGGTGCTCAATGGTTCTCTGTCTCTCTCTCTCTTTCTCTCCTTCCATCTTTCCCTCTTTCCTTTTTATTTTACCGTGGTTGTCTCTTCTCCCTCCCCGCCACACACCCTCCACCCCACGACGCAACATCAGCACCCCAAAAACTGGGCTCTGCCTCATCGGAATACTTCCAGAAAGACGGGGCCAAAGCGCGGAGTCAAACCCACGCTCTCACCTCCCCGTCTACTGGCTGAGCAACACTCCCGCCACTCCGGTAAATAGAGCTGCCTCTTCCTCTCCTGTCCCCCCCCTCCTCTTCCTCGTCTCCGTTCGCATGCAGCGCCAAGCGGACTCGCGACTGGGCAGGACCCCAGCACCCTCCTCCTCCTCCTCCTGTTACAGAACAGACAGAGCCTTAGCACCTTAGCTGTCCCACAGGAAAGTCCCAAGTTCACCTGTACGTCATGACGTGACGTCTTTGTGTGAAGTGTTAACGGGGGCAATGGGGGGGTGTCCCCTTGACCACTCCTGTCCCCCCCTCTGTGTTCAGGTGAGTAGCCTGGACGCACAACACCTAGCACAGATCAGAGCATGCACAAACACTACTGTCTGGGGGTTCCCCCAGTGTCCACTGGTTACTCTGCTTCAGCTGTCACCGGATCAGCCTCC